GTGATTGTTTAAAGCGCTACCCTATTGTGTCCATTGTTGTTTAACACCGCACTCAGCAATATTCCATCGATATGTCGGCGGTTTGTAAATAATCGCCATATATATTTTAAGGTTTGTCGGTAAACTCCGTTGTAATTTGCGGAGATCTGCATTAATTCAGAGACCTTCCCCAAACTTATGCTTTTAATGCATCCATCTGTTATTCCCTAAGTTAGTGAGTGAGTGTGTTTAGTTTTACTCCGCACTCAGCAATATTCCATCGATATGTCGGCGGTTTGTAAATAATCGAGTCTGGACCAGACAATCCAGTGATACTGTCGAGTATCAAGTCAACTCCACCAAATCAGAGAATCTGACCAGCCAATCCCGTTAGTCGCATCTTACGACAAGCATGGGTTGCTGAACACCAGTTCTAACCCGGATCTTCGCGGTTCAACAGAACTAGTTATTATTGTCATATGCGGCGAAAATTTTCCGTTACCTGATGGCAAAAGATTTTACAAGAATTTCCCAGGAAACTCAAAGTTGCTGAGGTTTGTAAAACGAAGTTGGGAATGGCATCGTGGATGAAATTGTTCCAGGGTCGATTCCCCTCTTAAAGTGAGTGAGTGAGTTTAGTTTTACGCCGCACTCAGCAATATTCCAGCTCTATGGCGGCGGTCTGTAAATAATCGAGTCTGGACCAATGATCAAAAGCATGAGCATCGATCTGCGCAAATGGGAACCGATGACATGAGTCAACCAAGTCAGCGAGCCTGACCACCCGATCCCGTTAGTCGCCTCTTACGACAAGCATGGGTTACTGAAACCAATTCTAACCAGGACCTCCACGGGTTCCCCTCTTTAAAGGATATAGTCTATTCTTAATGCACTCGCTACACTACCATTTTACAACAAGTAACTGGCACCAGCATTGCAAGAACAGCCTCATGGTAACATTCATCCACGTCTGTGCAGCACGAGACCAGTCTGTCCTTACCATAAACATAAAAAACACCCGCGCCTGAGCGCTCTCAAGCAACAAGAAGGATGTCTGTTCGTGTTGGTCAATGTTTGGCTGCTCCGACCCACTCCAAGACCGCTACTCGAAACACTAAACTGCCTCCCAAACTGAACATGGAGTGCGGATTGACCACATCGATTTCCTGCCTTGGAACACCCTAGTCAAGACGCGGATTCTCAGAGGGGTCTTTAAGTCTTTCTGTAATATCGGCAAGGCTGGGCAATCCAGGGGTACGCTCTTGTCCAAAGCCGGCGAATCCTGTAATTTTCACACGTGTTACAAGAGGGAGCGTCTCATCCGTCACCACATCGACTGCGTGGTCGACGGTGTCTGAGGCACAGAGACGATAACATGAACCGGCGCATGTTGTGTAGAGCGTAAAAAGTATTACTATTACAGATAGAGAAAGCTTCCTTAGCGGACTTTTTAAAAAAATATCACAACACCACCGATGTCGGAGATTAATGGGAAGTTAGGATGAGGATGATTATTGGGTTGTCGCGCCGAGACCGGTTCTATTGTGCTCGTCCACTGAGATGCCCGCCACAGTTTTACATGGACACCTCACTGAGACACAATACACTGACTCTCTGCCCTCCAGTCCTAGTTCTATCCCTTGTGCTGAGTGCCAGGTAGGGAAACATCAAATACTGTTGTTAAAGTATTTTGGTATGAAGCGATCGAGAGTGTTGAACCGTTGACCTGCCGCTACTACTACTACTACTACTACTGCTACTACCGCTGCTGCGTTTTATACTAATACTAAAATTACTACTACTGCTACTTCTACTACTGCTACTACTTCTATCGCTCCTGCGTTAATAATAATGCTACTATTTCTACTTGTGCTACTGCTACTACTACTATCACTACTACTACTGCTACTACCGCTACTGCTGCTACTACTACTACCACCGCTACTACTACCACTAATACTACTACTGCTACTACTACTACCACTGCCGCTACTGCTACTACTACCACTACCGCTACTGCTACTGCTACTATAACTACTACCGCTGCTGAATTTAATACAAATGGTAATATTACTACTACTGCTACTACTACTTCTACTACTGCTAGTGCTACTACTACTACTGCTGCTACTACTACTACCACCGCTACTGCTACTACTATCACTACTACTACTACTGCTACTACTACTTCTACCTCCGCTGCTGCTGTTGCTTGTAATACCAATGCTACTAATATTAGCACTACAACATTTACTACTACTACTACTACTACTACTACTGCTGCTGCTGCTGCTGCTGCTACTATTTCAACTTATGAAATCCAATCCCTATTTCAATCGGCGGTATGTGTCAAAGACAGTTTTACGCCAAAGACATTTCGCTTTAACGATTGCACCAAGTATACCGATATTGTTCGTTTTGAAAACTGACCCGGAGCGAATGCGAATAATACTTTTCAAAAAGATAACATAAATACCCTAAAATTGACAATACATGAAAAAAAAATCAAAAACGAAAAATGTTAAATCTGAAACTTGATAGAAACATAACAAACAACATTAATAACTGGTTTTGCCATTTGATATTCTACACAAAAAGAGAAAACTAATCTTTGTCAGTTCAACTTCTATCTGCTGCCGCTCTGTCTACCCGTCGCCAACCAGACAGAACTCTGAGCACGATCAACTATCGTGCTGAAAGTTTTTCCGTTGCTTGTGTTGGCCTCTTCGTGTTGCTTCCACAGCGCAGACCGCCTCCGTGGTGTAGTGGTTAGAGTGTCCGCCCGGAGAGAGGAAGGTCGCGGGTTTGATCCCCGTCCGCGTCATACCAAAAGACGTTAAAATATGGTACTTGTTGGTCCCTGCATGGCGCTCAGCATTAATGGGTACAACAAGGACTGGTCGGCTTGGAGTCAGTATAATGTGTCTGAGTGGGGTATCCATGCTTCACTGCGGCATGGTGTGTCAGCGGGCTAGCACTATAAAACCAGCTTAAGTCTGGGGTAGTACAAGCAGCTTCACATACACATACACACGCATGCACGTCGTCATATGAGCGAAATATTCTCAAGCACGACGTAAAACCCAATTTCACCTCACCTTCCACAGCGCAGATTAAAACAAAAAATAAATTATCTTTTAGGTCAAAAATATTATGAAAGGTCAATGAGAAATAGTTTGACACCACTGGCAAAAATTCACAGTGACAACTAAGCGGTATTTACATAATAGTCTGGATGAAGCAGTGTTTGACAGCATGAGCATCGATCTAACCTATGCATGATCAGGAAAAGCAACGCAGTAAATAATGGACACAAAAGAATATAAAGCGCTGAATCACTGGTTTCATAAAACCCCTCCTCATTAACAATCTATGGCAATCAAATAATCGGGATTTCAAAACGAACATAATCAAATATATATTTGCCTTGTGTCCCATTCCGATAATCCTCACCATTGTGACAACTTATAGCAATCAGCGTATATCTGGTTCAAAACGTGGAGGGGCGGTGGGGTAGCCTAGTGGTTAAAGCGTTGGCTCGTCACGCCAAAGACCCGGGTTCGATTCCCCACATGGGCACAATGTGTGAAGCCCATTTCTGGTGTCCCCCGCCGTGATATTGCTGGAATATTGCTAAAAGCGGCGTAAAACTAAATTCAGTCAGTCAGTCAGTCAAAACGTGGATAATCAAATTCATATTTACCTCATTCCCCACTCCAAAAAACCCTCACCCCTCTGACAATTTATGGCAAATAAATAATCTCTGTTCAGAACATACATATTCAAATATACACAAACTACATGTCCTATTCCGAAAAGCCTCCCCCCTGTGACAATTTATAACGATCACATTATTTGAATCAAAACGTGCTTTATCAAAAATATATTTGCTTCATGTCCCATTCCGAAAAAGTTCACCTCTGTGACAATTGATGACAATCAAATTATCTCTGTTTCAAAACGTACATAGTCAAATGTATATTACTACATATGCCATTCCTAAAACCGTATCTGCCATTATTCATATCAGTCATATCATCTCTGTTTCAAAACGAACATAACCAAATATAAATTTACCTCGTGTACCATTAAGATAGTCCTTGACATTGTGACAATTTATGAAAATCAAATTATCTCTGTTTCAAAACGAACATAATCAAGTATAAATTTACCTCGTGTACTATTGTGATGAGCCTTGTTTTTGTGACAACTTATGACAATCATCGTATTTCTGATTCAGAACGTACATAATCAAAGATATGTTTACTTCAAGTTCTAAACCTCCCCATTGTGCAATTTATGACAATCAAATTATCTGTTTCAACACGTAATAGAATATATATTTACTACATGTCATATACCGCAAAAACGCATCTCAGTGACAATTTATGGCAATCATATTATTTCAGTTTCAAAACGAACATAACCAAATATAAATTTATTTCGTGTACCATTAAGATAGTCCTTGACATTGTGACAATATATGACAATCAAATTATCTCTGTTTCAACACGTAATAGAATATATATTTACTTCATGTCATATACCGCAAAAATGCATCTCTGTGACAATTTATGGCAATCATATTATTTCAGTTTCAAAACGAACATAACCAAATACAAATATACCTCGTGTACCATTAAGATAGTCCTTGACATTGTGACAATTTATGAAAATCAAATTATCTCTGTTTCAAAACGTACAAAATCAAATATATATTAACTACATGTCCCATTCCGGACTTAATCCGGTCATCGGAAATGAGATCAGGCTCAAGCAAAGGTCACCAATGGCTATTTCGACAGTGTTAATTCCCGCAAGGATGCGCTTTCTGCTGCTGGTGATTGGTCCAAAGCCTCAGTAATTCGCTCAACTATTACCCTATTATACAAATAGGCGGCAAATGTCTCTGAATATCGCTTACACGCGATTCTTTCAATGCGCAGGCGCTGTAATTCATTCATGCAAGTCGGCAAACGTGAGACCATACTTACACAAAGGCCAGTCCGTGCTGACGGTACAGCGCTTCCGACACGGGAACGTTCTCTGGTGGCACAGCGAGTAGGGGATCCGAGAGTAGCAGCGCTCCTCACAGTGTACTTCGGACTCGCAGTCAGTACTCTAATTGATTGGCAATACATGGGATTCTGGGCAATCTTGGTGCCTAACGGAGTTCGGGCATGGTAACATTGTTTTCCATGGCCCTTTTGCTCGCTAATTGGCCGTACTGTCCAATTTAGAAACATTGTGTCCGGTTGGAAGGTAATGCTTGTGGAGTTAACGGGATCAGATATGAAGAAAAACGTCTTTTGATTGGAACTTTGATGTGTTTTGTGCTTGAATTCATAATTGGAGAGTTATCAGGATATTTTTCATTCGGGAGTAACTGGATATAGACTGAATTGCAAAACTCGCAATACATCAAAGAAGTAGCTATGAAAACTAAAGGAATCATTATTTCTTTAAGAACTTGTGAGAAAATTGAGAGGCGATTGTAGTTTGGTATTATTTCGTTTCAAATGTCACAAACAAGCTGAAAGTATAGCAAGACTGATATATTAGTTTTTTTCATTACCTTGCGAGTGTGATAAAATACCTAAACAAATGAATTAATATAATTGAAAAAAATTCAATTCCAGTTATTCACAATCTTAAAGTAAACTGTTAATGAAAGTAATTTAACATTTTATAATAATGAAATTTAAAAGTCACCTTAAATTTCTCAGGTAAAATGACGACCAAACCGTACGAATTGGAACGTATATTCCATTAATACAACTGAAACGGCACAAAAGCATATTCTCCAGAGAGAAGACAGGCTTCATATATTTTTTACTCGTGGTAACAAAACGTGATTTGTGTGTGAATTCCCTGGGAAATATTGTTTTTATGTGTGGTCAGATAGTGGATCTATACAAACAAACGTGGAGGCACTACACGAACCAGTCACTCTCTTCAAACATTACTCCCTTCTCGAAAACTAAACAGTGGTTGTAACAGAGCTCAGTCTCTCCCCGGAGAAGCTGCAGTGTATGTGCGTGACTAAATAGTGTTGAGAGTACTGATCCAGTGTGACCACTTACCTACACAGGTGAGTTGCCGACTGGTTGTGATTCGGCTTCAACAAGCTTTAAACGAACAGAGGATTAAATCAGAGAGACTGCGACGATTGTCAACAGCAGATGTGGAAGCATCTTCACAATGAGAGGAAGAGGTCCCGTTCTCCTGGATGAACGAAGGGTAATCACCCGTTATTGGAGTTTGCTCTACCTGGCCCTTGAGGGAATTGCTTGTATGTCAACATTCCGGGGAATGAGCACAACGTGTGTTACCTGTGATAATGCTATAAGTAGACATTGACACGGTGTGAGAAGTACATACAGCGGGGGATATGTATTAATCGATATATATCGATAAATTATTGAGACAACAGGTTGCTTGTCCGTTTTTTAATTATTTTTACGGTTGAAGGCTGACACAATATTGCTATGGAATTCATTGACTCGATATTCGATGTGATGGGATGCTGGTACAATGGGGTGATGTGACGAGGTTTACAAGTGGTAAAAAGGAAAGTGTTCATGTGTATGCTTAATGGTGACGAAGTCCGCCATCAAGAAGAGTTTTGTAGAGGATGAAAAACCGATGACCCACCTGTGACACTGAGAGGGTTGTGATGGTGCTGAATGCAACAGTCATGGCGATGTTGGTACTGCTGTTTCTGGTTGGGGCTTCAAGTTCGGATCCTCTTCCAATCAATGTTGCTGTCATTATCCCCCAGAAAGGCGACAGGCCCTTTTCACGCCACAAAGTATCCCCGGTTCTAGAACTAGCGAAAATCACCTTACAAAACAACGACGTTCTTGCCGACGTGAACATTTCCATGTACTACGGGGACTCAAAATGTACGGCCAAGGACGCCCCTATAGAGGCTTTCAACTTCTATATGAAGTCTCAGGTGAATGTGTTCCTGGGACCGGTCTGTGACTACAGTCTGGCCCCAGTGGCTCGATATGCTCCCTTCTGGAATCTACCCGTCATCACCCCTGGGGGGTTCGCACATGATTTCGGGGTGGAGAAAAGGGCGGAGTACCCGACCCTCACCCGGACAGGAGTCACCTTCAACTCCCTGGCACTGTCCACTCTTTCTATGATCGCTGGATACCAATGGAAGCGGATTAAAGTGATTTACGAAACAAACGGCCATTCGGACACTGCTCCGAAATTCTGTTTTTTGGCTGCTTCGGCGTTTGTGTTTTACAGCAAAGCTAGACGATTGGATAACGATTTCCACATATACCACCCCAAACTCCACAACATCGAGTCTCTGTTGAAGGATGAGATCGGCAACGTGTTTTCAGGTAGGTCAATTTTGCATTTAAAGGTGCATGGTCAAAGGCGCAAATATTCCCAATACAGTTTTAATGATATATAATGAATTTATATATTGCCTGTTTCCAAAACATATTTGCTCAACCGCGCTGAAAAGGAAAGTCTGAAAGACTATGTGAGGGTTTTGTGAACAGATGTTTAAAGGGGTTTTTAAAGAGCCTTTACAGTTGATTTCTCTGATATTGATTGTGAGGATGTAACCCCTTAACATTAAGCTCCAAATGCAACCATGTCCAAGTCGTTTCGATTTATGGCCATTATTTCCAAGGTGACTACAATCCCCTGACTCGATTTGGTCAACGCTGTTAAAATGCACTTGCCAAGACGTGTGATCCAAAGGAATTAATCCTATTGTTCATCTTGGAGGCTCAAGGACTTACTTCACCACTTACATCTGTACAATATGCAATGACCATGGACCTTTAACGTATTATAACCCAATGATTTATGTCACACACGTATAGCTTCAATTGATTTCTTCAGCATTATGTACTCGATTGATGGAAGACATAATACTATGTGTTTCAACAGAGTCTGTCTGAGATACCTGTCGGGTTCTGTGATGGATGGTTCAAATCCACGTCACTACAGCACCGTCATTGTTGTCGACACAAACGAAATCGTAACACGGCACCGCAATCAATTTCTCTTTGTATCGAATGTTAGCTTGATAATAAGAAAACAAGGATAATGTCCAATTTTCGTAAGTTTCACTTCCTCGAAGAGGCAATACATCTTCACATGGACCTGGTGTTTGTTTCACACATGGTGTGTGTTTCACTGTCTATTCCGTTATTAAGATCCGAGGGAGATGTGAACCAACGTCCAATTACACAGGAGTTTTTATCATCTTTCCAGTTCTTCCACTGTTCTTCGATAAATCCATACCTCGGTGAAAGCTTCTGTGTAACGTGTCTTCCTATTATACGGAAATTAGGTTTATTACAATCTGGTTAATTTCTATTCCGTGAAATTGCTGAAAGATGGAGGCATTTCGTGCTGTGGTCAATCATTTCATGGGGCATAGATAAGCCAGACGTCTAAGTCACGACAATTATTTGCTGGGAAAAGTTTGTCCCTGGGGCATACTTGGCCCAAAACTAATGACAGAACGCCACACTAAAATATCAGATATTGTAACTGGTCCCAAAGCTGAACACAAAACGCTGCTATACAATGTCAGATATTATACTTAGCCAAAAGCTTAATACCCAACGCTGCACTGGAATGCGAGATACAGTGCTTGGACCAAAAACTTAATACCCAACGCTGCACTACAATGCGAGATACAGTGCTTGGACCAAAAACTTGATACAAGACGCTGCACTACAATGCTAGATACGGTGCTTGGCTCAAAGGCCTAATACTAAACGCTGCACTAACATGTCAGATACGGTGCTTGGCCCTACGTTTGACATTATAATTGTTGGACATCAAACTGGGACCAAAATGTTTATACCGTATGAAAAAAAGAAGATCCTGCTCCAGGAAGAGAGCAATGTCACTGTCGCTATATGCCTGCGTGGACCATGCATCTAAATAAACCCTGATTCCGATATGAGGAGGCGAGCTATGTGGACAGGAGAAGAACCCTTGAAACTAAATGAACATGTAAATGTATAAGTATATGTACAGTTGCAGTTATGTGGCATTGAGCTGAAGAGCTGAACTGCTATTGTACTTGACAGTAACAATAGATAGAGAGCCAATGTCAGTTTTTACACATGAATGGAGAGCTAAAACGGACTGCTTGTTTTGCGTGGCACGACAACCGGATTTTACCCTGGTAAATGTGTGCTACGTTTTTGTGACGTGCTAGATGTCCAGTTTCAAACCACGCCTTGGGTTGTTTGTTTGTTTGTGTGTTTATCTTTAAACTCGTTAGGACGAGAAAGCCACATAAGAGTTGTATACTCCCAAGGGAGTTGAGATTGATAATGCGATGTGCCGTTGAGATTGACATCCAATGATCGAGGGAAAAATACCAGCGCCTTGAGCAAGCACTAGTGCGTGGATATGTGCGCTATATCAATATCCTATAATAATAACTCATTTCACTATTCACTTTATGAAGTCGGCCCGTTGACATATCTGATCCGATGATGGGTCTATATCATGAACATCAACACAAGATGTCAGAGTGCACTCAACGAACCAATTAAACTGTCCTAGCATTCAGTCCACCTAAGAAACCCCGTGCGACTAGAACTGATCGTTGTGAACCCAATATGACAATGAATCGCTACGCCAATTAGGAATGTACACTGTACGCTTCAGTAAACACTTTACTGATATACTGCTGCAATGCATTATTTATGACCGTCAGTATATATGTACATTTGCAGCTATTTCTGATTTCTATAGCAGGTAACTTATAGACTTGCATCTTTGGTTCCCATCCATAGTTGCTGAAGCAATAAGAAAATAATGATTTTTCCAATTGACATTGCATCTGCATTAGTAATACTCTCTGTAGGGGAAATCGAACTCACTTGTAACTTGCAAACCTCCTTTGTGACGCGTATCCTTTCTGAGACTACGTATAAACGGCATGAGAGGTTAGCTATAGTCATATATGATAGAAGGGTATTGTCTAACTTCTGTTGAGGAATGTCCAATAATCAACTTATATTTCGCATGAGCGATCCAATATCGGAAACGTCTGGTGGCAATTACTATTAAAAAAAGGGATTGGACGGTTCAGTGCACTGCATTTTGTTGTGCTGAGCTGCGTCCCCTTCTGGCGCCAGGATCCTGTGAACATGGGAACATGGATATTGTTCTATCTGCTCTCCCCCCTCAAGCTGTAACGTTGTGATTGAATGGAAATGTTATTGAAGTCAGAGTTGAACTCAAATCACTCACCCTCTGTACGACTGTTTAAGTATATTTTTACTGAACCTAAGAAATCACCGTGGCCGCTTCCGCTGAGGAGTGGACAGGTCATTGAATACTTTCCTTTGAATAACTGTACAGCAGTCGATACCAATACCTATATGTGAATACCTGATACCCATTGTGAAGAGCTCAACTGCCTCTAATACCATCGCTTGAGGCTATGTGCTTTGATCATACCTTAATGGCGTGGAGACAGCGCAATATAAATGCCAGTAGTAGTGGTAGCAGTAGTAGCAGTAGTAGTAGTAGTAGTAGTGGTAGTAGCAGTGGTAGCAGCAGCAGTAGCAGCAGCAGCAGTATTAGTAGCAGTAGTCCAATCATGATTCTATTACGGTCACTATGTTGCTGAAATATCGCCAAGGTGATGTTAAATTGAAACTCACTCACTCACTCACTTCGTACTATAGTACGAGACGCGTCTGTACGTACGAATGAATATCTTTTGATCTACAAAGGAGTAACCGAGTGTGTTATAGGCCGCGTTTAGCAATATTCCAGCAATATCACGGCGCCCCTTCATCACAACAACTACACTCACGTATGCAAGTGCGTTCGTTATAAATCTTCTCGATCGAAGTTAACGGATGCACTCTGAACAGTCAACTCTCCCCATGGCGTTGAGAATGTGAATGAATAGTGTGCTGTTTGGGTTACATGCTTACGGCCATTTGCGGAACTAGTGTCATAGAACGCAAATGATACGATGATTAATTTACAACAAAGGCATTTTCTCTCGACCGGACGCACCTGTCAAATCCACATACATGGCAGGAGTACCATGTGTTTGGGAGAAACCGCCACCCGTAGCGCTGTCTTTATACCAATATACAACCGATCTGAAGTTCCAGGCGATGCGTCAGCCTACCCTGTCTAATGTTACTAAGGGGACACCGCATTTTAAACTGCCAAGCAAAACAAATATACATTTGAAATTTGTCCAAACAATTACAAATGTTCTCAAAAATTACTAGACCTAAAGCAGTCGACCCGTGAAGGTCCGGGTTAGAATGAGCCTTCAGTAACCCATGCTTGTCGTATGAGGCAACTAACGGGATCGGATGGTCAGGCTCGCTGATGGTTGACACATGTCATCGGTTCCCAACTGCGCAGATCGATGTTCATGCTCTTGATCACTGGATTGTCTGGACCAGAATCGATTATTTACAGACCGCTACCATATAGCAGGAATATTGCTGAGTGCAGTGTAAAACTAAACTCACTCACTCACTCTCCGAAAGCAGTCGCCAACACACAACAGTGATGTCAGCGTGAAAACAGTTCCTGTTTGGTTCAATTTTAACCACCCTCAGATTGGACATATCCTTATCTCCAGCAGTCTAGATACGTTCAACACTGCTCTTTTTTCAGATATATTCTGAAGTGCTTATCAGACATGTACAATGTAAACCTATTTAGTCCATCCTATTTTAGAACATGTCGCTTTTTAAAATAGAGTTTTAAATATTTATTTGAAGCCAATCCGGGATTTCACTTTGTGAAACAGAAATGAGCTAGGAATATGATGCTAAATTTATACTCCCAACCTGATATTGCCAATGAGTTGTAGCAAGGTTAGTTTGCAGAAACAAACACTTATCGTAAAATAAATGGAAAAAATATGTCATAGATTATTCAGTAAATGGAGTGGTTTCATCCTGGTGATCTCGTTGGCATAGAAACCTAAAAGAGACGATACGTTTATCGGACTGGTGTTTGACGTCGTAGTGATGTTATCAATGATATAATAATAATCTTTATTTGCACTGAGAAGGCCACATGCCTATAGTACATAAAGTTATGTTACATTTGAGAGGAATTTAGATCGGGTAATCATAGCATAGTAAATGAACATTGAAATATTTTGTAGAAGAACTGGATTTTATGATATGATAAATATATACAGTTACACGGTTGGCATTTGAAAAAAGTTTGCTGTGAATTCCATGTCGCACTGTGGCTAATGCCTGTGGCGTCTTAATGCCAATACAATAGCATCCAAGGGGACCCCGTTCTTTTAAAACGATATTTGTGTTATCTTCCATTCCTCATTCATCTGAGTTCGTCTCCTCGA